GGATGATTCAACCACTAGATGTCGCTGAAAACAAAAAAATCCTACACACTGTGCCTTTAAGTGAAGCTTGAGGAAAATAGGCTAGTGTAAGGACATGCAATTTAAGCAAAATAACTTTGAACTTGTTTGGTAGATTTTCAATATTTTATATAATATTTGCACATCCGACCCTTCTTCCTGTAAGAGTGATTTGCAGGAATTCATACGTCTCACAACATGTGCTTAGTTCATCCTTTACTAATGCAGGGCTAATTAATATATCACAAGTGTTACAACAAACTGTTAAAAAGCTGAAAATCATCTTAGCAAATGCTAATCTCGGCTGCTGCTTTATGATTTACAACATTTTTGCGAAGAAACAACTGTATACACACAGTTGCCAATGGTAATTTTATTTATATAGTGCATTTAAAATTAGGTTGATCAGTATGCTTTACAAACCGATTTAAACAAAAAAAAAAAAAAAGAAAATCACCAACAAACAAATCAGACACAAAAAACAGCAAGAACAAAATAGAATAGACAAAAAACAAATTAAACACAAGAAAACTCTGTAACATCTGATGGAACTAAACTCGGTTTATTTAAAATTTGCTTCATTCCTCCTAAATCCTGCAGCTAAAAACCCATAGAAAGAAAAAGAGCTGGGAATTTTTTATTTTCTTTCATTGTTACTGGTTTAATGACTCAAACTAGAGAAAAATGCCTGTCCTATGACAGACGACAGACTAAAACTGAGCTCGCCCAGGACATTTGATAATCCGTAAAAAAAAAAAAAAAAAACTATATCGGCAGAAAGTCACAGAGTTGTTTCTCACCCCAACTACAAAAGCACCATTAGGAAACATCTTCTTGGTGAGTCGCTACAAGGTAAAATTAATTATTTGTTGAGAATCAATTTTAGATACAACCCCACCAAATTTTAGAATATCTAAAATTACCTAAATTATACACAGTTTTGAAGTTTGGTCATTCAGTTGTAGCAGCCATCTTGAATGTTTCTGGCTTCAAAATGTAATCATTTGTAGCTAAACAACAAATGATTACTTTTTAAATTTTCCTAAAATTCATACCGAGATATTCTGAAAAGATGTTGACATAAGAACACACACAGACAGGCGAAAACATTATTGCCTGCCTTTCAGTGGTGGGCAACGATAAAATGAGAGGACTCTGCGCGATGCCCTCAGTGTTACCTTGGAGAAATAACCGACCAGGTGGCATCCTGTGTTGTCAGCTTCAGTCATAACATAGAAGAGAAACGGCTCGACATCGTAATATAACGTCTTGTGGTCCAGGAAGAGTTTTGCAAGCAGACACAGATTCTGGCAATAAATCTAAAAAAAAAATGAAGAACACGAAAAATATTGTAGCAACCTATTTTTCTGCATCTGTGTGAAGGTCGGTCTTAGAGAGAAGGTGGGAAAAGATGCTCACTTTGTTCTTCTTTCCATCCACCTCAAAGACTGAAATGTTTCCCTTCCTGTAGATCTCATCGCCTGGGGGGTGCTTCCACACACACTTAGCCTACAAAAATGGACAAAAACAAAAAAGATCAGAGGAAAAACTTTGAGCAACAAGTTAGTACAATGTCTCACTGGTTTCATGTAGCTGTAATTCCAAAGTGAAAACTATTTGATTCATTATGATCAGATGTATAAGAGTACTTCAGTGAATCAAAACTGGAATAATATAAAGTGTGAGACTGCAAGTGACAGATCAAAATAATCATAAATGAAGAACAGGACTGAAGTATACACATCACATCAGAGTCTACAGCTCTGACCACGTTCATGCTACATAATAATTATTCAAACACTGGTCCAAATCTTCCTACGTTCTTTACTAATACGTACACTACCAGTCAAACGTTTGAACACATCCTCCCATTAAAATGTCCCTATTCTTTTCCTTTTTTTCCTACATTGCTAATCAGCACCGAAGTCAACCAGACTGTGAAGGAACCCATACAGTAAGGAGCATTTAGCAAACCCAAAAGCACCAAACAAACCAAAATACGTTCCAGATTCTAGACCACTCAAAACAGGCACACCTTGCTCTGACCACAGACTCTTGGCGTTTTTGGAACTCCTTCGAGACTGTCGGAAAACCATTCCAGGTGATTACAGAACCTCATGAGGCTGACTGAGTCCTGTTATAGTTGGAACGAACATAGTACCGACCCACAATATAGGGAAAACAGACTGACATAAAAACACTGAATGAAAAAGTGCATCCAAACTTCTGACTGGTAGTTTACTTCAACAGATTAAATCATAAATATGGGGTAGGATGAGAAGAGGCGAGCAAGCAAATAATGTACAGTTTTGAAGCTGTGCACACAAAAAAAAGGGTTTAATTTTCATAAACTTGTCACTCAAAACGCAGATAAATATCTCACAATTCTGAGTTGCCAAGCAGTCTCTAACAGTTGGGGTTGGGCATAATTGTATCATGTGCAATTAACCGTCAGGAAAACATTAATCGATTATTTTCTGGCACTTGACGATTAATACGATTAATGCCACCAGGCAGAGTCCGCTCGCTGCTCCTCTCTGCTTCAAATACAACGAACATTAAAAAAAAGGTTCTGTAATTTATTTATCCATCAACACAATTAAAAAACTGATGTATAGCATAAAGTCTGTAATTTTGACACAATAGCCTAAATGCCATGGTCATTAATGACGTATTTCTGGTAAAATACTTGCCACGCTCCTCCCTTCCACTTCCCGGTTACTGCCTTTGTTTTTAGTGTAAGCTCCTAATAGTACTCCGTGAAAAAGTCACAAAAGTTAAAGCATCTGTGATCTACTGGTATAAAACGTGAGTTCTGTTGTGTGCCGTTGTGTCAACTAACAAGTAGGTACGATAGAGTAGTTAGTTTTTCTCCATTTTCCTCTTGATGAGGAGGAAAGGTGACAGCTATGGATCATAGCTATACACGGAAAACTTAGCTATAAGCTCACGTTTGCATTTGTAATCGGCATTTCTAACCTGAGGATATTCAAGAGCCAGCATCAGAAATGAGAAGACAGAGGTTACAAAAAGGAAATGTACATTTATTCTCTTTTACTGCCAAGGCCGGGAGAGGAAAGACCACCTTCACACGACAGCTAGCAGGAAGCTAACACAGCAGCCGGTACAAAGGTAGGTGTGTGTYCGTGCGCATTTGTGTTATACAGAGTAWGAAATGATTTTAGGCAACTTTGTCATGAGTTTTATGCAAAAGTAAAAACTTGTTAGAGTGTATATTACAGCGTAAACAAAACACAAGTGACGAGCCGAAGAACCTCCGTCTGATAATCATTACGTTTTCAGTTCACTAACGTCGGGGAAAACGATCCAAACCATACAAGTAGCCCATCAATTTAAAGTCCAGACTCTGCTCTTTCCAACAATATAAGTGTCACAGCTCTACGTGAAAAATTCACAAAACAAGAAGCCATAGAATAGAAAAAAAGGCTAAATTCTGGAACCATAAACACGAACGTCTTTCCTTTGTTTTTATGGCTTTAATCCACTTTTGGAGTGATTTTTTTTCCACTTGGCTGGACCTGTACATCTCCTGTGTTAATGTTGGTACATGTAATATGCTAATTCTGTACTGTGGAGATCATTAAGAGTCATTGTTGGGTGAAAAAAATCTTTCGCTAACACTGTGTTGACCGTGAACCAGAAGTGATTGGAGTGGCCCCAAGTGCTGGACCGGATGTCCGTGGCATATAGGCTATTTGGAACAGATTTTTACAAAGAGCAAATCTTTCCCACTAAATTGGTCATGTGACTAGGACATAAGGGTGTCCAGGGACTCCAGCGGATTAATGGACAAATTAATCGTTATTGGCTAAATACCACAATTAATCGTAATTAATTTTTTTGCCACTATTGCCCAACCCTACTAACAGTCACAAGCCAGTGAGATATCACCCCAATGAATAAGGGCTACCAGGAAACTGCAGGAGGTCAGATTAAAAATTTCAAACCTTGAACATCCCACAGAACTATTAGTTTAATGTACACAATGACCCCAAAAAGCACCGTACCATGTGCCTGCGCAGAATGGTCTGACTTTTTATGTACTTCAGGCAGAATTCGCACATGTAGAGCCTCCCCAGGCGGGCGTACTCCTCCGGGTATGGAGAGTGGTACCAGGTGTCCAGCTCGAAACGCCCAAACACAATGGTTTTTATCATGTTGCCGCCCTCCGACACCTGGCCGGCGAGGCGAAGCTTCTCCTGCAGAGCCGGAAGAGGAGAGACAGGAAGACGAGGCAAGGACAGGGCGAGAAGAGAGGACAAGCAAGCAGGTGGATGGGTGACAGGAGAAAGAAGAGGGGACATCAATTATTAACAGAAGAAGTTTGTGTGAGCTAAACAGCATGCTTGAACCAAGCAGAAACCAGAAATGTTGACAAGAAAAAGGAAAAATGAAGCACTAATAAGAAACAACTTTGAATGGAAGAATAAAATGATTTTTCTGTCAGAAAGTGGCACATCTACAAAGATTTTATGTTAGTGGAAAATACAAAAGGTAAGATTAATCTCTTGGAAACATAACACAAAGCTGAAGGTACATCTACTGTACATGAATTCCCTCAGAACTGAAGGGTTAAAGCAAACAGAGTGACATGAAGTGATTGTCCAAACTACCAAAACTAGCTCAGACTTCTCCTGTGGCTGTGGAGGAGGGTTTGCAGACTGAAAGAGAGAAAAAGAGTGGTAAGCTAGAAAAAGGAGGGAGGGAGGGAGGGAGAGGGGGCACAAAGAAAAGAAAAAGAAAAAGCGGAAAAGAGGGAGGTGAGGATGAGTTTTCTCTCTTACAAGGTCATCCGAGGCACGTGCCTGCGCTTTCCTGAACAGCTCGAGGTCGTAGTCACTGGTGATGTTCTCCAGCAGAGGCTCCCGGCTCGTCCCGTGGCTTTCACGGTGTTCCTGGGAAAAATCAGGAATTAAATATTGAGGTGTTTAAAATGTAATTTGAGGCAGAGAGAGTGAGAAAGTGAGAGAGAGTGAGAGAGAGAGAGAGAGAGATATCAGTTCATATGATCTCACCATACACTTTTCCTTCTGCTCCTTATTGAGGCCAGAGTTCCTCTTCCTCCTGAGCTCGGTGACCTTCTCCTTGTAGCGCTGCTGACGATCTGTAGGGGCCTGAGGGACCACCCAGATACAAACACATAAACACTGATGCCTGTGTGATCGAAATGTTTGAAGCACCTCATCTTTTATAAAGTGCAAATGTCTCTTGTTTAAATGTCTGGTGATAAAAAGCCTTATTTAACTACGTTTTCCAACAATTTTAACACCAAATGGGTTGTTCAGGCATTTTGAAGTGAGGCTCTGTCCAAAGGTTTTAAATAATTAATAATATATTACAGTCAAGGGAAAAAAAGGCCACCCTCTTTCAGTTCCTGTGTTTTCTGTTTCAGGACATAAAATATTAAGAAGTGTACAGAATAGTGTTGTGAATCTCTGGTCTGTGACTGATATAATCTACGTCTTGATACAATGCCCAGAATATGATTTACTAAAGATAACACAAGCAGCAGAAATTGATACAATGCAATATTATTCAGCCCTATTTATCACATAGTATACCATAGTGATGCAGTTCAGCCTCAAATTACAATAAAATACGATCTGATTCAACACATTGTGAATCATTTCAATAAATTACAACAAAGCAAAAGAACTGTCTTATTTCACGTTCTGAGATCAACTATTCCTACAAAATAAAATATGTCCTCTCATAAACAGGCCACGTTTTAAACCTCCTGCTGCCCTTGGGTTTAAAAGACACGAAGCGCTACTCTAAACACTGAGTTATTTTGACCCAAGGGCAGCAGGATAGATAAAATCACAAAACATTTTCAGAAATCCTTGCTAACACTTAATAACACAAAAATGAGAGTCAAACGAAATGAATAAACCGACCAGCAGCAGATGTGTTTAAGGCTCTTTAAAGGGATCCTCGATTAGTTGTAACATTAGATTTTATTTCATAAACATTTATTTTAACTGTAAAATAAAGACTGCAAAAATACTGTAGGACGTTTAGTTTTTATAATTTTTTAAAATATATTTTAACACGGACGGGGCCATTTTATTTACATGCAAAGCATTCTGGGTAAATGATGACATGGATAGGTCCTCGGTGTGAGCGAGCTATATCCACCCTGAAGGTTAATCTTGGACAATATCTGATGATTGACTCTTTTAAATGAAACCAGAGAGCGTTGACAGAGAGGAGAAGGTAGAAATGACTCAGTCTGTAACTGAAAATATGGATGGAGGACAACAGAGCTGCTTCATGGAAGAAGAACCTCAGCTTAGCCTCTGTTAGCCTTTGCGGTAGCACCGACGCTATATTGCCTTATATGTATTAGCTCATCGCTAGTGCAACAAACAAGCTAAACTGAGGTCCTTCATCCATATTTTCAGTTGCAGGCTGAGTCATTTTTGCGCTCCCCTTTCTGTCAGTGATGAGAGAATGTGTAGTGCTGAGCTAATACATATACTGTATATGGTGATGGCATCGGCAACTATCATAATTTTCATTATATAACATACATAAAATACAGTTTACTATGCAAGAAATGAAGAATGATTAAATATTTGTAGCATCTGAAGTACATAGTGACTAATGAAAGATAAAATAACGGCTGATAATATTTATTATTACTGTAGGTTATGACTTTTGTACTTTAGACATTCATTTTGTGGCACTTTTTTATGTCCTATGTCTTATGTTTTTTTTTCAGACAACCAGATTGTGATAGAAATCTCTTGTACTGGTGTACATCACTGAGATTCTCATAGMGTCACTTCACAAAAAAATATCTTCTGGTTCTGGTTTTAAGGTACTTTTTAAAAGAAATATCACATTTTCTCTGTTGACTCATGAGAACTTCCTCTGTCAGCTGAGCTCAACAGGTACATCAGATTCACTGCTTTTTTGACCAAACTTACACGATAGTTCTTCATCACTTTCACTCTGACCCTGCTACACTGACAAACAGCAGTGTGTACGGGTTTTTCCTACAACGTGTGGACAATTTTCCTAAAAAAAAGCTGCCTCGTGGGGACCGAAGTGAATTGTGGGGACCACTGCCAGGTCCCCACGGGTCCAAATGCAAATTACAGGTGTGGGGTTTGGTTTAGGACCAAGGTTTAGGTTAGTTTTAGGGTCAGGTAAGGTACCTGTGAGGTTAATTTTAGAGTATATGGTCAGCGTTAGGCTATAAAGTCTAAAAAACATGAATGGAAGTCAATGGAAGGTCCCCACGGGGTCAAGAACACACATGTGTGTGTGTGTGTGTGTATGAGGGAGTGTCTTTGTTACCTGGTTTCTTGTGGCATGCCTGTTTTCATCCTGCCGATGCGACAGCGCTCGCTCCTCTGCTTGTTTGTCGCGCGTCGTAACTTTGCCCTGTTGAAACATCAACGCTGTCTGTAAGCAACAACTCAGAAACTGCCCTGCAGCACAAACATCACAGCAGCCTCCCCCGTGTTTCAGCAGCTTGACTATTTACATTTTCTAGTCTGGATGCTTTCACTTTAGTTTATTGTGCTGTCATACGGGAGACAGATTCTTCTAATATTACAGGAAATATAACAAAATGTACACGGATGTAATTCTGCCTGTTTTATTCTAAGGTCACTGACAGCTGTCAGAAAACAAAACCGGTAAATTTTTGTAGGAATTAAAAAGCAAGGAGGCCGTGAACGGTGGACGGAGAAGATATAACAAATAAAAAATGGCCAAAAACAAAAGTATTAATAACAACAACAAAAACAACAACAACATAGAGCTGGGCGGTATGGCCAAAGTTTTATATCACAGTATTTTCGACATTTACACCGGTTTGACGGTATTTTTCTTTTCATCACAGGTGAGCTGATAATAAAATGTAAAAACACTGCTTATTAACCTTTTTTTACTGTACCTCTGTCTGTGTTGCTGTTTCCCTCTGTGTCTTTTCTCCTCCTGGTCGTAGACAGTAGTCACGCATTTTGGTCCGATCGTGAAGGAGGAGGGTTAAGAAAAGTTTATGATCGGGTCTATTGTTTTATGTTATTTAATAAAAATTATCAGCACGACTCACCTTGCACATCAGTCATTTCCAATTCCATTACAAACTACTTTCCCTGGGCTGTTCACAATAGAACCACGTTAAGTCTCCATCAGCATAACGTCTCCATATTAACATCGCGCATTAAATCTAACTGTGCACGTCACTGAAGAGGTGTTTACTACATTCAGCGACGGCGAAAACGGGATGTTTTTTAACGTTAGTCAATATAAGCAGCGAAATCGCCACCTGCCTCTGAAGCTGCTCAACAATAACATTAGCATGCTAACGCACATAGCGGTGCTGCGAGGAAAACTGTCCCCCGGGAAACAGCTCATTGGCGGCCGCAACGAAACGTTCCGCACATGTTCAGGCTATTTAAAACGGAATGTCCAGTATTCAGAAAATTCATATCATAACAAAAATAAAAACCAGTATTCGGTACAAAACGGTATACCGCCCAGTACTATAACAACAAAAAATACAACAACAACAACAATAATCCATCCATTATCTATACCCATTTATTCCTTTTTTAGGGTCATGGGGGTCACTGGTGCCCATATCCAGCAGTCACAGTGCGAGGGGCGGGGTACACCCTGGACAGGTCGCAAGTCCATCACAGGGCCACACAGAGATACAAATAAGACCGACGACCATTCACTCTCTCACTCACACCTAGGGACAATTTAGAGTTACAAATTAACCTAACAGTCATGTTTTTGGTTTGTGGGAGGAAGCTGGAGTGCCTGGAGAAAACCCACGCATGCACAGAGAGAACATGCGAACTCTGCCCAGAAAGGCCCCCGGGCCAACAGGAAGATAATTAAATYTTACTCTGAAGTAACTATGCTTTATCTGATGCAGTGTTTAGATAGTATTTCCTCTGTGTCTTTTATTACATACCACTTAATAAAGTGCAGTCAAATAAAGCATGAATTGGTCACGAGTTATTGACATATTAATTTTCTCATTCGCTGTTCTTTCCCCAAACATCTTTGCTAAATTGTCAACAGTATTTATATGTACTGATACATCTCTAGTAAAAAAAAAATAAAGCTCCTTACTTCCAGTTTTGAAGAGAAATTTTTGAGCTACAATGAAAGTGAATGAGTTTGAATTTGTGTATTCTGAGGGTGTCTGTGAAAAACAAAAACAAAAGTCCTATAGAAGAGATAGACAGACTTGAGAAAAGAAGACAATGCTTTTGTTTTGATTAGGGGTGCAACAATACATGCATCTATATCGAACCGTTCAATACACACGTGTATCAAACAATATAGATTTTTAAAATTTATTTTATCAAGTTGTCTTCTGAAGATGCTCTGTGTTGAAGGCTCAGAGGATCTGTGTTCGACTACTCCACCTAGGCTTAATTGTGGAGCACAGATCCACTGAGAAACTTGCTGTTTCAACATTTAATTTAAAAGCTGTACTTTTGAGGATAAACTCATGTTCATAATTAATTTCAATAAACTACAAGTCAGGAAGGGCATGGACATTTCTCTTTTTTGTATTGAAAAAATATTGAATCGTGAGACTAAAGTATCAAATCGAATTGTGAGTTTTCTGTGTCGTTGCACCCCTAGTTTTGATATGTAAACTGTGAAAGAAGTGTAAGGTTTGTGAACCTAAGATATCTTTGTCAGCAAAAATTTAGCAACATTTAGACAACTTAAACTAAGTTGAAGTTGTGGTAATACCAAAATGCCAGTTCAGTCACATAAAGCCCAACTTCCTGTGACCCATTTAAACTGTGAATGATGTTTCTGATGTAAAATGAGCTCCAAACAAAGCTGAGTTTCCTCATTTGTTTCGCCAAAATCTAGTGTGTAGAAGGCTTTGCAAGGTTTTTCTTTTTTTTTTTATCTTTTCACATTTTGTCTAAACCATAAAAAGTTGTGCTACAAAAAGTCAAAGCACATTATCCCCAGTTGAGCCCAATGTTTTGATTCATATCAATGTTTTCTTTTATTTTCAAAAGTTGCAGTAAAAGCAGTGAATAGAAAATCACAGCGGAACAATAATGAAAAAGCAAAAAGAGCGGTTTGGTGGCATGTTTTGGCACAGAGAACAGACAACATGTAAAACTGTCCTGGCTGTTTGAAAACAGCCTGCAGTCTCCTAGTTTCACACTCCCCTCCAAAACTGGAACCCTCACTGAGTTATCTGAAAGTGTTTGAGTGGGTGTGTGTATACCTTGCATTCATCAGCGGAGAGGTTATGGTACAGAGGACACCCTGATATGGAGAAATGTCTCTCATGTCTCCCTGTTAGATGACCTGAGGGGAGGAGGACAGAAAGGGAAGACAATAAGAAAACAGCTGGTCTAAGAAGCATAACGTGATTTGGTTAAAAATAAAAATAAAACTAAAAAAGTGTCAGGGTGGTGTGTGTGCCCTCACCCAGTGAGTTACATCCTGGTGTTGGACACTTCATGTTGAAGTTGTAACTTTCATGAAAGCGCCGTCGTTTGGGTCGGTGGGAGAGGTCGTGGGCGGCTGCCTCTTTGAGTGACAGCTCTTTGGCCAACCTCTCGTCCTCCTCTTGTGAAACTACAACGTCGTTGCTTGAAGATACGTGGTCGTTGCTCGGGCTGGAAGCCTCTATGTCTGACTCTGAGGACAGCGCGTTGCCCGTTGGGGTGCGAGGTGGGGTCTCGTCTCGGTCTGCCCCTCGCTTTATGTCTGCCAAGTCATTTTTGAGACAAAGAGTCAAAGTGACCGTTTTCCACACATATTCACCTGCCTCTTGTGAGATTAAACCATCTCTCAGGTCCTGTGCTCCCCTCAGGGTTATTTAAAAACAAATCTCTGCAGACCACACATATAACTTCCACAGATAAAATTAACCCCACCCTCAGCAGCTGCAGCCGGCAGATAAATCCAATAATGAAAAATCATGTTACGGCAGAAGAAGGCCAGGGAGATGTGAGAACCTGGCAGGTGAATGAACGGACATATTTCAACCATTTCCTTGGCTGCCTCCATCAGTCACACTGAGCTATGCAGCATCTCAGCCCAGGACAGGGTGTGGCGTGAGCAGGAACACCAGCCGGCACAGAAATATGATGCAACATCCCCTAATAATTATAGATTTGCCACTCTACCAACCCAGGAAGCTGGCTGTCAACTCAGTAAGGCAAAGAAGTGATATTGAGCAAGGTTATGTTGAGAGCTAAATGACCAAACATCCAACATGGATTTACAGCCATTCTTTTATGGAAACACAAAGATCTTTCACAAATAAAGCCACAGTCAAGTATTAGAAACACTATATTTCAGTTACAAGATGGAAGGAAAAGAAAAGAAGACTATTTGGTTCTAACAAGGTCCCAAAATGGGGTGATCTCAACAGTGCATCCAAAATGAATCCAAGTCATTATTTATTTACCAAAACACTAAAGCAGTTATAGAAGCACAGGGTATACAGCTCAATAAAACTTTAATTTGGAAAAATAGTTTAATTCAGACCTGCTGATGAGCTAAAAGTCTTTATGAGTGTGGCTAAGATCAAAAAGGCCATCTTTACACAACTAATGACATTTTTCCATTTTCCTTAAAAAGTATGTCCCAACATGTAAAGGTTTATATACAGTAGTTCTCAGGTACCATAAGGATGRGAGAGCTCACCCATCATGTTCACATTGTATTCACCGATAAATGTAGAACTTGGTAGCAAATCATTATGTCACCCATTTTTTATAATAATATTGTGATACTAACTCTCTTGTAACAGGACAAGTTCACCTCTGTATGGTTATGGTGAGTGGGAATGGATAAAGAACCCATATGAATGGGGGCCTCACAAGTGGGCCGATTGCTCTCCCCAAAAACACGCTGAGTTTTAATCAAACCGTTGCACCCCTTGGGTGGACACCAGGTTAGAAACACTCAGTGTTCTGAGCTTCTCAGGATCCATGAAGGGTTTCCAAGAATTATTTTCCTTTGACCACTACTTAGGCAGTGGCCTAAGTAGTGCAAAGAAGTCTCAATGCCATAGGCATCACACACTGTCATCARCATTTTGTGGTAGTTGAGCAGATTGTGCCCAGTTAGGACTCCAACCAGTGTGCTTAGGGTTTTCCTTGTCAGGGAGATGAGAGCTTTCCCAAACCTTAGATTTGGTCCGTTAATCCGTTCCCGTGCCTGTCTACAGTCCATCAGCTCCCTRCAGAGGACTGAGTGTTAACGTCTGATCCAGGCCTGTATGGCAGTCCTACAGACTGTTGTTGAGGTACCTACAGGAGGCTCTGGTCCTCTGAAGTGAGCCCGACTACCAGTTCTCTCATTACCATAAATGCCAGTATGTCCTGGTACCCATTTAACAGTAACTGTTATCTCTCCCCAGTTGGGTGACTGCTTTGGCACACTCCCAAGCCAGTAATGATGTAACGTGTGGCCCCGTATGTTATAATGATGATGTCATAGCGTCTTTGAAGAAAGCATTAGGCCCTGCATTGATGAAAAGTTTGGCTCCCTCTTTGAAAAATAGAATTGAATTCCTGCTCAAAGGAAAAGCAGGACAGATTTTTGCCCCCTCAACTCTCTCTATGGGGACAAATTAAATAAATTAAAAAAAAACACTGAATGATTTTCTTCATTCCTTATATCTAGATCAGAGTTTCTCAAACTGGGGGCCCAGGACCCCCAGGGGTCCATGAGCCGTGTCTCAGGGGTCCTTGAAAAATTTCAATAAATTGTTAATTTGGGTTTTTATTTTAAAAAATGCATTCGTGAAACAATGCACTAATAAAACAAACATACTAAACCAAACAAAAAATAATATTACCATGGTATTTAGGAGTTAAAATCAACAGTAAACTACTGTATTTTCCATTAACAGCATGGGGTTTATGAGGGGGTCCCTGGAAAATTTTCACCCTTGTAAGGGGTCCCCAGACCCAAAAAGTCTGAGAACCCCTGATCTAGATTATGAACATCAGGTTGGTGATTCAGGGCTAGCAAATATACTGTACACTGTATTCCAAATTATTGGGCAAATTATGTTTTTCTCTGATGGTCTTAAATAGTTGATGTAAATGACAGTCAGCATTATTTTCAAGTCATCAGCCGTTAAAAGTATAACTCAAATGTTACTGGAAAAACCTCCCAATGATACGGTTACAAATTATTACGCAACAGAGTTTCCAAACATTTTATGGGTTGTAAAGAACTGACAAGGTTGTGAAAATGCCACAGTGCCTTGCAAAAGTATTCACCCTTTTGGCAATTTTCGTGTTTGCCACCTCAAAACCTAAAATTAAAATTGATTATTTGAGGGTTGGAGTCATTTCATTTACAGAAAATGCCTACAACTTTGAATATTGGATATTGTGAACCAAACAATAAGACAACATTACCAAAAACGAATACTGGGTGAATACTTTTTGAAGGCACTGTACAGTGGTTTGCAAAAGTATTCATACCCCTTGAACTTTTCCATATTTTGTCACATTACAACCACAAACATAAATATATTTCACTGGAATTTAATGTGAAAGACCAACACAAAGTGGTATACAATTGTGAAGTGGAAGCAAAATTTTACATGAATCAAAACATTTTTTACAAATAAAAAACTGAAAAGTGCGATGTGCAAAATTATTCAGCCCCCTTTTCCCTGAGTGCAACCAATTGCATTCAGAAGTTGCCTGATGACTGCTAATGACTCAAAAGGGTRCACCTGTGTGTAATCTAATCTCAGTACAAATACAGCTGCTCCGTGACGGCCTCAGATGTTGGTTAAGAGAATATTGGGGAGCAAACAGCATCATGAAGTCCAAAGAACACACCAGACAGGTTAGGAATATGGTTTTGGAGAAGTTTAAAGCAGGCTTAGGTTATAAAAAGATTTCCCAAGCTTTGAACATCTCACGGAGCACTGTTCAATCCATCATCCGGAAATGGAAAGAGTATGGCACCACAGTAAACCTGCCAAGACAAGGCCGTCCACCTAAACTTACAGGCCGAACAAGGAGATCACTGATCAGAGAGGCAGCCAAGAGGCCCATGGTGACTCTGGATGAAATGCAAAGAGCCACAGCTCAGGCGGGGGAAACTGTCCACAGGACAACAATTAGTCGTGCACTACACAAATGTGGTCTTTATGGAAGAGTGGCAAGGAGAAAGCCATTGTTAAAAGAAAACCATAAGAAGTCCCGTTTGCAGTTTGCCAGAAGCCATGTTGAGGACACAGCAAACATGTGGAAGAAGGTGCTTTGGTCAGACGAGACCAAAATTGAACTTTTTGGCCACAATGCAAAATGCTATGTGTGGCGGAGAAAGAACACTGCACATCACTCTGAAAACACCATCCCCACTGTCAAATATGGTGGTGGCAGCATCATGCTCTGGGGGTGCTTCTCTTCAGCAGGGACCGGGAAGTTGGTCAAAGTTGATGGGAAGATGGATGGAGCCAAATACAGGGCAATCTTGGAAGAAAACCTGTTGGAGTCAGCAAAAGATTTGAGACTGGGGCGGAGGTTCACCTTCCAGCAGGACAACGACCCTAAACATAAAGCCAAAGCTACAATGGAGTGGTTTAAAAAAAAGAATATTCATGTGTTAGAATGGCCCAGTCAAAGTCCAGACCTAAACCCAATTGAGAATTTGTGGCAAGATCTCAAAACTGCTGTTCACAAACGCTCTCCATCCAATCTGACTATGCTTGAGCTGTTTTGCAAGGAGGAATGGGCAAGAATTGCAGTCACTAGATGTGCAAAGCTGGTGGAGACATACCCTAAAAGACTTGCAGCTGTAATTGCAGCAAAAGGTGGCTCCACAAAGTATTGACTCAGGGGGGCTGAATAATTTTGCACATCGCACTTTTCAGTTTTTTATTTGTAAAAAATGTTTTGATTCATGTAAAATTTTGCTTCCACTTCACAATTGTATACCACTTTGTGTTGGTCTTTCACATTAAATTCCAGTGAAATATATTTATGTTTGTGGTTGTAATGTGACAAAATATGGAAAAGTTCAAGGGGTATGAATACTTTTGCAAACCACTGTATATACAATTTGAATAATATTTTGTGATACAAATTAAACCAGTGAGGTCAGCTGAATAAAATGAATTCAATAGTGTCTAATTTTCAACAAATTTTGTATCATATTGTATGTTATGTTAAACTTTTTTTATTCTCCAGATGTTAGTTTATTTTACTGAGTGTACCTGGTGTGTCCTGGTAGTATTTGTACTTTTTCACTGAACTCTCTGTACCAGTTGATTTTAAACACATCACAGATTATATGTTACGTTGTTAAGTAGCAGCAACATAATTTCTGAATGAGTAGCTCTCTGTGTGTACTGTGACAACACCACAACACTAACGTCCAAGACAAATCTCCTCTGTGAAAAATAAGATATTTTGTTTGTAATCTAAAAAAATCTCCATTTACTGTTTTATAAACCTTTGAACTGCCATTTATTTCAGATTAAGAATATATTTATACAAAACATTATGGTTATTTTTATGAATCGTATTTACTTCCACCATTATGGTGCACACACAGGAATTTGGAACTAATGTGAAAATGACAGTGGTAAAGGTTTAAATAATGCAGTTCACATAAATCACTGTTTCTCCAAACTGAGGGCACTCAAAGAGCTATTTACTTCAGATAATAAAAGAATTGTTCATAACCTTMTCTGTAGAACCACACTTAAAGAAATGCTGGAATATAATGTACCTTTTAAACGAGCCGTGCAAAAATGATGATCTGTTGTTAAATTAATCTCAACACAATGTGATGTCATGTCTTGTTGTTGTTTTTTTTCCCTTAGGTCATCTTTACCTAATTTTAGAACCCTGTAAGAAAAAGGTGAAGAACAGCAGATTTGAAAGATGTARTTTCTTTTCAAATCCAATCTGTACGAATGTTCCATCACCTCCTGTAGTGTGTAAAGTTGAATAACAATTCCAGCTTTCATCGAAGAACTTCACTTCCACTGATWTAACACAAGTCTAAGTTCTCAGCCGACATGTAATAGTCTGCTTTATAATCTGGGACACGTTGTGTTCCTGTGATCCAACCTCAGCTTCACCTAAATGTAAGACAGAAACACAAAGATCCTGCTTTGCTTCACAACTTCACCTTTGTGTTGTTTTCTTTTCTACTTTTTTTCCCCAGCTTTAACATGAAACTCTCTGTTAGGCTGTTGCCTCTCCCCGTTCTCTCAGTTTGTTTTTCATGTTATCCCAGATCTTCAGGAAGATAGTGAAAACACAGAACTTTTTTACCTGTGGTACAGAATTAGAAAAGAGTTTTGGTCAATTATAAACAGAGTTTAAAAGCACTAGCAGCCTCACCGTTGGCTTCAGTATCAGAGCCCGATGACCTGCTCTGCCGCAGTGGATATTTTTTTGCTGTGGTGTTTGCCACCCCCTGTTGGCTGCGAGTGACCCTGCGCCCGGAGGAGAAAACGGACGCGGCCACGGCTGCTGTGGACTCTGCCGCTGAATCGTGTCCTTCATCGGGACCCCCGGTAGCAYGAGAACTGCAGTTTTCTACAGGGCAGAAGAAAACGTTGGTTCCTGGAGCCTCTCATCTACTGTTGCAGTTCCAGTGGGTTAGAAATGTTCATCCTCTTGGTTCTCTCTCCATTATGGACTTTTAATTTAATTTAAGTAATTAAAAATAATGTGCAAAAAATATTTTAGAGTAAAAAAGTTTTAAGTGAGAGTTTTTAATCAAGTCAGTACTTTGTAGAAACACTTTCTGCAGACGTTAAAAAAATCAAGTCCCTTCAGGTACGCCTCCATGAGTTTGACCCATCTAACCACTGGAATTTTTGTCTATTCTTCACTATCAAACTGCTCCAACTCCTTAAACGGTTCCCCGGTTACTTGTAACATTAGACATTATTGGATAAACCTTTACTGTATTTGTGACCCATCACATCAAAACGAGGATTTAGTCCAAAAGTGGAATGTGGAAAAATAGGCAGATATAGGCTTTTGATTTAAATGTATGCAAAAATTGCATTTCGGCAAAATATAATGAATTAATGCCTAATCAATGTATCAATTGAATGAACTAT